AATAATATTTTAGTTATCTTTTCCATGTTTTTTATTCAATTTATCCATTTTTATGTCTAATCTTTCGAGAACATAGCAGATTCTTTTCTTTTGCCGATTTTGCATTTTTTCTTGAATTCCAAAACAATGTGTGAAAACGCAACGTATCGTGACCGTAAATGCGTAAATGCATCTTACCGTCCGTCGGCACGGGTGAGTACTGATGCCACAAATAAAAAATGTTATGAGTTTTATTTTGACAAATCGTCCGTTTTGGCGTCGGGGACAAATCATCTCGTATATTTTCTACATTATAACTCTTGTACTTGCTCTTGGTTACTCGAATTGCATTTCATGAACGTAGAATAATTTGCGAACGTGTAAATCACCGATTTCAAACTTTTTGCATTTCGTAAATAATAATAGTGACCAATCTGTTTGTATTTCAAAAAATTGTAACATGTTTCAATTAAATTAAAAAGAGAATAGTAAATAACTTAGTGTGTATTGCAGTTCATGACATAAATGCTAGAATGCTGTATGTAAATGACATGTAAATTAATATGCAAATTTATGCTAATTAGGCCACCCACCAGCTATTTTGGATTGTGGAGATCACTGCTAAACAAAACCCCTTACTAAACCCTTATATAGTTTTTGTGGTAAAAACCCTTCGAAAAGGCATTAAAGCTTAAAGCGAGAGGGTCGTCACCTGCGCATGCACGGGAATTGAGTCCCAAGCGACGATAACAACACATGCAAAGGCTCATGGACAGACACTCGTTTGTAAACAATGACACGTTATGGCAATCTGACACATGCACAGGTGACGACTCCCCCACTTTAATACAATGACACGCTATGGCAATCTTATGCATGCACAGGTGACGACTCCCCCACTTTAATACAATGACACGCTATGGCAATCTTATGCATGCACAGGTGACGACTCCCCCACTTTAATACAATGACACGCTATGGCAATCTTATGCATGCACAGGTGACGACTCCCCCACTTTAATACAATGACACGCTATGGCAATCTTACGCATGCACAGGTGACGACTCCCCCACTTTAATACAATGACACGCTATGGCAATCTTACGCATGCACAGGTGACGACTCCCCCACTTTAATACAATGACACGCTATGGCAATCTGATGCATGCACAGGTGACAACTCCCCCACTTTAATACAATGACACGCTATGGCAATCTGACGCATGCACAGGTGACGACTCCCCCACTTTAATACAATGACACGCTATGGCAATTTGACGCATGCACAGGTGACGACTCCCCCACTTTAATACAATGACACGCTATGGCAATCTTACGCATGCACAGGTGACGACTCCCCCACTTTAATACAATGACACGCTATGGCAATCTTACGCATGCACAGGTGACGACTCCCCCACTTTAATACAATGACACGCTATGGCAATCTGATGCATGCACAGGTGACGACTCCCCCACTTTAATACATGTATAATAGCATTTTTTTTATTGGGAAGACATATCATATTACAAAGCAGTTTATAAATGAGTTTTAGGTTAGTATACCAGTAATTGTTTTACAGTCAGAATACGTTTTGGCTTTTATAGTACCCCTACATGTATTGTGATATATTTTTGCAGTATTTTTTTTTTTCAAATAGTGTATTTATTATTATAGTGTGTGCCCATTATCATGGATCGTAAAGATGTTGTTGCCATGGCGCGAACTGGAAGTGGTAAAACAGCAGCTTTTCTCATTCCTATGTTTGAAAAATTACAACGACATTCGGCTAAAACCGGGGCACGAGCTCTTATATTATCACCAACAAGAGAATTAGCTGTACAGACTTTGAAGTTTACCAGAGAGGTGAGTCTTGGTTGAGTGAAATTTACCAATATATCACAAGGTAGAATGTACATTGTAGCAATCAGAAAGAAATGTAGCAGTATGTTTTGTAGTACATGTAGATGAAATGTAACAATGCTATGTATTCCATGGATGAGTAACAATATGTGAACATGGTGAAGGATATGCTTTCTGACATGGATATGCGCCCTCCACCAATCAGATTGCCCGATTCATGATTTATATTCTCTGTATAAATTGAGAGAAGTTAGTTCGAACATGGCTTTGTCAGCTGATCTTGATTGACAGGAGATCATCAAAAGAACACACATGATTGGTTAATCTAATGCAACATTTTATTAACCTGAAACAATGTGACATAACACCATGACTCTCATCTACCACCCAGTTTGTAGGTACCGCAGCAGCTATCTTTTGTTTCAGTTCATTCCTTGAAACCAGTGCGGCGAAGCGATGACTCACTGAACTGGCTGGCATCGATTCTCTTTTAACCACAAGATCCTGGGTCGGTATAAGATCCAGATGTTCAATCTTGACAGGGGAATCAATGATTTGTGCATCGGGTGACGATAGCTATGCCAGAGCGTCATCAAGCATATCAAAACACGCTTCGGGTAGCGATTGTTCTCCCATGTTGAATCAAAGATTTCTAGCCACGAAGTGAACTGTACTGCACAAAACAAAAATAAAATTGAATAAATTGTTGCAAATTGTTGCCATGTTAGAAACCGGTTATAATTTTATAACCTATACTATACTATAAAATAAACATTGTTGAAGAAAATAAAAAGGGGGCCAGCTACTGACTGGTAATTATTGTTTATATGTGTATTTTGCAGCTTGGTAAATTCCTTGGACTGAGGTCAGCTGTAATTCTAGGAGGTGACAAGATGGATGACCAGTTTGCAGCATTACATGAGAATCCTGATATCATCATAGCTACACCAGGAAGATTGCTGCATGTACTTGTTGAGATGGATCTCAAACTAAACTCACTAGAGTATGTTGTCTTTGATGAAGCTGACAGGTAAGATGTGTTGTGATATTTAAACTATTGTTACATAGAAAACAATTTGACATACTGTGAAGTGAATTTCCACTGGAATCATAAATAAACCAAACAATTGCATTAATTGTATACAGATTCATTAATATATTACTTTAATAGATTGTCCATAAACATGTCTTTCATTTACATAAGCGCTAATGGTGGTATATCTCTACATATGAATAGATGGTATAAATCTTAACAATTGACCCGATGTAAACCTTGACCTTTGACTTGATGCAAATCCTGAACTTTGACCCGACGCAAATCCTGAACGTTGACCTGGCACAAAACCTTGACCTTTGACCTGATGCAAAACTGGCCTGGTATTAGCCTCGACCTGGTATAAACCTCAATCTTTGACCTTTGACTTAGTATAAAGCTACATTTTCACACGTCAAAAAAACGCCAATGTTGACACTTTTTTTGTTGTGCAAATATTAGCTAATCTGATGAATTGTCTGGTCGCGTTCTCACACTGGTGTTTTGCGCCCTCAACGAATCATATCACGCAAAGGTCAATAAACAAATGGAAAAGTCGACAAAATGATATCCCCTCTGGTAAATGCATTTGCTTGTTTCTGTTTTTCCGTGTTTTTATGCTTGAGAAGAAGGCAACTACGATCGATTAATCAAGATTTCGAAGAGCAAGAAATCGCTAATCGCAAATTTTTGATTTTCCGTTGACATGTAACAAAGTCCTGTCCAACCCCTTTTCAGCCGCTTTTTCTGCAATAACAGCATACACTCTAGCATCCCTAGATGTTCGTCCATCATTCTTTGAATATTGGATTCTTTCCATACAGATATCAGTAATCTCGTTTCTTCGTCTGACCAGTTCGACATTCGACTTGTAACCTCTGACGTCATCTTGTGTAATGTTAAGCATAAATAAGTTGGCGATAGAGGGCGTTTGGCTGTTGTATTGTGTTCACACGGCACATTCCATTGTGCAAGAGCTAGTGTGACAACGGCGTTTAGGATCTGGTCCACCCCTTTTACGACAGTGTCAAAACTGCCGGCCCCACAACGGCGTATTCTATTCACACACACATTTTAACAACATTCTCAAATAAAAGGCGTTGTCAGTGTTCTCCCCAGAAATTTTCCATAGAGTCGCGGCTAATTTGCATAATAATTAGCATATAATTAGCATAAATTAACATATTATTTGTCATATGGGGAAATAAAACAAAACCAGTTTTTTTCATTTTTTTCTATTTATTTTATGTACAATCTGTATACAATAAAAGTGCACTGTATGTTTAGTATTGCAAATGTCCCGCAGAAATACTGAGTTCTCTGTTCCTTTGCTTGACCCAGCAATCAGCAACTTTATAAAACCCTGTTCAGTCCTGGTAAATTAAACATGGGGTTGATTATTTTCATTGCTTGTCTTCCGTTTCTGTTGTTTTTCGGTTAAGTACAACAACTGTTACAAGTCACGATACTTACGCTACTATGTTTGAGCAATAATAGTTTTTCTGGCTGAAATTATCCATCTTTATGTATTTTTTTTAATCATCGATGTTGCCTGTTCAACACAATTGTGAACAATTCGAGACAACTGAGGTCTGAATTACGAATTGTCGTCATTGTTATACCACGTAAAATTGAGGCATTTCTCCAAGAAATAACACAAGTGTCACTCCAATTTCCACACGTTTCTTGATTAGAATTCCCGATTTCTTGATAAATATATTATTTTCAATTATGCTTCACTTAATTCATCCGAATCTGAGCACGATATGCGATCCGAGTGGGAAGTTCACGCTCGCTGGATCTTACGTGGGTGACGTCATCTTGGATTCACAATCACGAGGTCAAAATTGTTTACATCATAATATATATTTTTTCACATTTTGATCTCAAAAACAAATACATATCAAAAATACTGACAAAATCAAAACTTGGAATAATAGTACGACTACATTTATAAAAATAATAATGAAAATACGTTTCGTACACACCGGAAACATGTGGCTTTTGACCCCAAGTGTGACTATATCATTTGCATATGAATATATGTTTGGCAAAGAGCGTTTGACACTGGGGCTTACGGCTTTGTCTTTATAGAACGGTTTTGTTTTTTTAAAACGATATCCAACCAATGAGAAACAACAGGGGATTATCCCGGGAAAATGGCGTTAATACAATGCATTTGTATAACTAGTTAGCCAGGAAACTTTACAGTCTGTGAGAGACTGAAGAAATCAGATCACGGGATAAATAATAGCATCGCGGAGGAAACACATAGCGTCGCGGGCAAATCCGATCGCATCAGGGCCCGCGACGCTGTTTTGGCCTGGGGAGAACACTGGTTGTGACAACAGCTTCTTTCGTCTAGTGAGAACACCACTTAAATCTAGTTGATTAGTGATACATGTACTACAATATATCTGTACTAGTAGGTGTGTGTACTTAGTTTCATTAACCCTTGATTTTGTGTTCTTTTCAGATTGTTTGAGATGGGATTTGCAGAACAACTTGAGGAAATTATACAGCGACTACCAGATGACAGACAGACTCTACTCTTCTCAGCAACTCTTCCCAAACTACTGGTGGAGTTTGCAAGAGCTGGATTAAATGACCCGATGTTGATAAGATTAGATGTAGAAAGCAAACTAAGCGACCAATTAAAAGTAACACTTTTGGCATTTGGGGGGTGGGAGGTGGAGGGGGTAGCATACAGTAAAACTGTGAAGTTAGTAAAGAAAGTTGTGGTTTTGAGCAGAATTCCTTGTCACAAAAAAATTCGTCCTATTTTAATTAAAGCACCACAGTTTTTACATGCATTGTATACGCCGTTGTGAGTTCCATATCAGGACAGGACACGCTGTCATGACTGTATTAATTTAATGTATTTAAAATAAATGCTAATGTATGACGTTGTGACCCTAATTCTGACCTCACTGCTATAATGTTTGATTTCCTCTTTTTCAGTTAGCATTTTTCAGTACAAGAGCCGATGACAAGATATCGCTTCTCTTGCATCTTTTGAGAAATGTCATCAAACCATCGGAACAGACAGTCATTTTTTTGGCAACCATGCATCACGTGGATTACATTAAAGAGGTATGTTGCCATGGTGATGAAGACAATTATTATTTATTACTTTTACCATAAATCTGTTCTTACCATACCATATTTGCTCCATTAGAATCACATACTTTGCATACATATGAAAATTGGTGCTTACAAGTCTTAGTAGGGGATTTGGATTATAACACGATCTAAATCCAACGTTAAGCCTATAAACGTTCCATTGTTTTTAGTGCCAAACCCCTTTGTTAAGTACAACAACAAATATTTCGTTGGTGTTTGTGAGCTCTTGTGTGATTGGTCAATGCAACGACAGCTCTTCCATTTCCGTGTTTTACTCCCTATCAATTTGGGCCCTGTTTAACCATAGACAGTATAGTAGAATAGTAACACCAATGTCAAACGTCGTATGCTC